TAGGGAAAAAGCATGATGTTACACACTTAATATGTTATATCATAACCTGTGATGGAGGTATGACTCTTCCTGTTTTTCAGATGAGAAAAGTAAGGCTTAGAGTTACATAAATAGGAAATCTGGAGGTGAGATTTAAAGCCAGGTGTGTCTTAACTCCAAAGGTCATACTTCTCCCCTCCCCAGATTGTCCTTGTCTAACACACAGCCTTTCCCAGTTTCCTGGCTCGGGGTGCAGAGCACTTCCTGGCAGGTGACAGGCACCTGTTGCTAGGAGTTCTCCTACCTGTAACTTACAAAGACAGCCAGCAGCCACTCTACCAGGTACAGCTGACCTCATGCCCTGGCTGGCTCTGGGGACTGATGCTGGGATGATGTTTTTGCTTGCAAGTCGTTGGTCTGAATGTGTCACTGTACAACCACTCTAAGAGGGCACGTGAGTCACTTCTGTCATCTCCTGTCACCTTACAGCACCCAGATGGTGACCAAAGACGCTACAGTCTATTATAACTATTCCATCGTTGGATCCTTCACTGTGAAGGTCAAGGTTGTGGCGGAGTGGGAGCAGGTAACACCGGACGTCGGGAAGGGCGTTGTGCAGAAGACAGGCGACTTCTCCGCCTCGCTGAAGCTGCAGGGTGAGTCTCTGGGGGTTGGTGTGGGTTGAGCATTTGGCCCATCAGGGAGCCCTGGGTACCACTCCTTCCAGGGCTGGGTCACTTGCAGATCAGGGTGGCTCCAACTGGGCACTGGGCTGAGCTCGGATGCACAGCCTCTATTCTGTTCCCCTGGCAGCCCTCTGAGCGGGTCTGTCATTCCCCGCTTCCAAGAGGGCACTGCAGGCCATGGAGGAGGTCAGGTGGCCACCAGGTGGCAGAGCCCAGACACTGCTGTGATTTGGTGCATCCCCATCACTCCTCGTTCCCGGCTACATCTGCCTGCCGTCAAGGACCGTCCTGTCGGGGCTGGGACAGCCTCAGTCGGCTGCACAGGGAGGGAACAGCCAGACCTGGCTTTGGCAAGAGGGGATGCTGGGGCAGCTGCAGCAGATTTCTTGGTCGTGCTAATGGGGTGCTGCTTCCCCCACCCCGCACACGGAACAGATGATGCGGGGAGGCGGTGGTACCCTAAGTCAGCCCCAGGTCCTGCTCACCAGGGCCCTGCTTGCTTCCTCCGGCTCCCTCACTCTAAGCTGGCTCCAGCACCTGCTGCTGACAGGGAGGCGGGACCCAGGTATGCCCTGGATGTGACCTGTGACTTGCCCTTGGGGAGGGCCAGGAGGAGGACGGGGTGATGGTCACACAGCCTCGGGACTCCACGAGCCCTGATACAGCTGTCGTCAGCCACCAGATATAATGAGGTCTTCTCTGCCTTTCAGAAACCCTTCGAGGCATCCAGGTCTTGGGGCCTACCCTAATTCAGACCTTCCAAAAGATGATAGTGACCTTGAACTTCCTGGGGAGGTGAGTGAAGCCCAGAGCACACTGCGCAAGACCTGTGGTCCTGCCCGCACTCCCCCTCCGAGGCTCCTTACTTTTTGCTCCATCCCTGAGGGGCCCCAAGTTAAGGAGCTCACGGAGGGATGATGCCACCCTTGACTGTGCCACGGGAGAGTCACAGGCATGGCTCCATTCTCAGGGTCCAGAGGAGGGAGCAGTGGCCTTTTGGGGCTGTCGGCAACATGGGCATCAAGGCAGAGGCAGGTGAGCGACCACTCCTGTGAAAAGACTTCCGTATGTGACTTGGGCCTGCTTTCCAGCCCCCTGGAAAGCAGGCCATCTTGGGTAGGACCTGGCTCAGCTCCTGCCAAGAATGCCATCAAGCTGAGTTTGTAGTAAGTGATGAGATGAGGAGATGCTGGGTGTGTTCTCCCCACAAGGGAGTCCCTCTCTGGGGCCACTGGGATGGATGGGGCTGCAGAAAAATAGTGGTCAGGGCCCAGCCCTCCAAGGACTCTAGTGGGGAAGACCAACCCCACCCAATCCCCCGACAAGGGGACACGTCAGGGGGAAATAAGGCTAGACCGGGAGGGGGCAAAGTAGCCAAGGAAAGAGGAAGACAAGCCAAGGGGCTGGAGGTGGCTCCTGAAGCTTTCAGGGGGCTTTGGAGATAAGAGCTCAGTACTTAGAGAGCAGAGGGGGAAACTACTTGTGCTTGGTAGACCTGATCATTGAAGTGGCATGAGTGTGTGTTTTACTCTGGTCTAGGTCGTGTGAGATAGGAGTGCTCACTTGGAATTCTTTTTATGGACCTGCATTTTCCAGATTCTGAGCCTGTGCTGTGGCAGGTGGATAGTTTGGAATGCCCTCACCCCTTCAAACCTGTCAAAAGCCGACTTATCCTTTTAGGGCCTACTTAAATGCCACCTCCTCCAGGAAGCCTTCCCTGACTTCCTCATTAAGAACACGCTTCTCCGTCCCCTGTGCTTCCACAGCGCACCAAGTGCGTCACTGGGGCACTCATTCTGCCTCCTTCAGCAGTCTGTGCACGTCCCTGTTTGCCTCACTGACCCCCTCGGAGTCCCAAGCCATCTCTTATGTACCGTTTTGTTCCCTGGAGGCCAGGGAAGCTGGGTGTTCTGTCCTGGAAAGGACACTGAAGTTCATGACTGCCTGGGCTTTCTTGGACTGAGTCTATGCTCACACTCCTTGCTGAGCCATTGCTAAAAAAATGCCCCCATTTCCCTGCAGCCCCCCTCTGAACGTGTGCTGGCGTCTTAAGCCCGAGTGCCTCCCGCTGGGGGAAGGGGAATGCCACCCTGTGTCAGTGGGCAGCACGGCTTACAACCTGACCCACATCTTCAGGGATCCTGGGGACTACTGCTTCAGCATCCAGGCCGAGAACATTATCAGCAAGACGCATCAGTACCACAAGATCCAGGTCTGGCCCTCCAGTAAGTGACACTTTGCCTCTGCTCTTACAAAGGCAGCAAAAACCAGTCAACCCTGCCACCACCGCCAGTGTGCTGCCACCAGCCAGCTCCACCAACAGCCATCAACATCAGTCCCAACAACACAAGCATCATCAATAACCCTGCGGTCCCCAACCAACACCACTGACTGACCACCCACAGCACTAGAAACTCTGTAGTGCCATCAACAACTGCTCTAGCCCCCACTACCAGAACCCCTCAGTTCCACCACCACCACCCTCCACACCAGCACCACTAACTAACAACAGACAGCTCAGCTACTGCCAGCTAACTTGCCCAGCACCACTGCCACCATCACCACATGCTACAGACAGTTCTTCTAGCATCTTCAATAGCCAGAGATGGTGCTGCCATTGCGACCACCCTTACCACCATCAGCACTGCCGTTAACACCCCTGCCACCAGCCCCTGCACCGACCATTTGGACCAACACCATCCATCCCGTGCTACCCCAGCATCATCCCAACTTAAGCTCTCTTGTTGCCACCACCACTGACAGTGGTCAGTGTCTCTCCATACATTAACCACTGCCACACTTGTCCCCAACACGAACCCTCCCTCCTTCACTGCTATCACCGCCACCCCATCACCTCCATCTCGGTGCTGTTGCTGCCACTAAAACAAGCATCTCCAACAGTGACTGTGCTGGACTCACAGGGCTGTTGTGAGTCTCCCAGGGAGGGTAAGCAGCTCAGAAAGTGTGCAGTACAGTCTCTCTCATTCATAAGGTGCCCAACCATCGCCCCTGGAATACCCTTTCCCAAACACATCATGAGGTCCCGCCACCGGCTTACAGCCACAGGATTGGCTGATGACAGCATCAGGTCCTACCCTTCATTTCCGGCGGGGGGGTGGGGGCTGTTCTGTGACCCCAGAAAAGAACTTTCTTATGTAGAGGAGAAAGTAGGATCCCAGAACCCTAGGGATGGTCTTTCAGATGCCCAGCCAGGTTCCATGCCATACAGAACAAAAGGGGACACCCTGCCAGCTGCACTCACCCCCGAGGTTGGCCCTGTAAGGGCACCAGATGCTGTCACTGCCCCCTCCAGTCTTTCCAGTCCCTCTGAGACCTTGAGCAGACACCACTCTCCGCTCCTGGCCCCGGCTGATGTTGTGGGCCAGGCAGACTCTGTGACCTGTTGGCATCATCGGCGGCCTTGGGCCCCACCTCCCCCAACATCTCCTGGGCACTGAGTGTCTGGGATCCCTCTGAATTCTGCAGAGAAAGACAGCACTACAGGTAATCAATGCCGCCTTTTCTTGGGAGACAGATCCTCATGGCATATGGTGGTGGCTCTACCAGGAGGAGGGTGGGGGAGTAGTGAGAAGGAACCCACACTTGCTGATCGCCTGCCTTGCACCTGTCTCACCTGGTTGCATTCCCATGGCAGCCTTGTGGGTCAGTATTGCCATCAGGTCACTGGTCAGAACCAGGATTCGAACCCAAGACCCCCTGGGCTCTTCCTGCTCTGCCATGCTGCTTCTTGGTAACAGGATAAGGGAGTGAGCCCAGAGCTGCCAGAGGTCACAGGGCTGTTTGGGTGTCCTCAGAACTTGGCTTCCCTTCCCCAGTGCAAGTCACCCAAGAGACACCAAGGAGGAAGCTGCTAGGTCTTTCATGGCATAGGCTCGGAAGTTGTACGTCATCACTCTGTCTCATGCTGCTCATTGGGAGCAGCCCACACTCTGGTGGGAAATTTAGTTGCACCCCTTGAAAGTCACTATCAAGTAAAACTTTAAAACCCTCACATACCCCAGGTTGGTTTTTGTGAAATCCTGGATTTGCCTATTGGGGTTGCCTAGTTGGGATGCATGAACACAGGGAGGAAAAAAGCTCTGGTGGGCTTTGTTCTCTCCCCTGTGTCATCTCCTCCTGAAGGCTAGTATTCAGCACCAACTACCCAGGCTCGTGACTTTAGCCTGTCTCACTCCCAGGCATCCAGCCTGCTGTCTTCGCTTTCCCGTGTGCCACACTCATCACCATGATGCTGGCCTTCATCATGTACATGACCCTGCGGAACGCCGCTCATCAGAAGGACATGGTGGAGGTGGGTGCTTGGTGGGGTGGGGGCTGGACTCCTGGGCCCTGACAGGAGAGGATATGCGGAGAGGGCAGGGGGGCTAGACCAGGGAGCCTGGAGGTGGTCTGGATGTCAGAGCAAGGCCCTGAGGCTGGGGGTTATGTGCCCAAGAGGCATCCATAGATGGGGCCCGATTGATGATTTAGCTGCTTGCCAATGTGACTTACCTCCTTCTATGCTAGCCCTTTGCTTGGCAGTCGTGCCCATGAGCTGGTAAGGGAGAGGGCAACCGAAAGCAGGAAAGACCCACAGAGCAGAAAAGCCAAAGGCACAGGGAAGCGCTGCGTGGCTCCAGAAAGGTGTTTCTGTGCACGCTGCCAGCAGGCAACTGAGCTCAAGGCCACCTATCCAGGCAGCTGAGCTCCTAAGGCCACCTAATGGGACTCCCAGTGGGTGGGCGGGTGATTGACCAGTGGGGTTTTGTTCACCATAGGTGGCTGATTTTGACTTTTCCCCCATGTCTGACAAGAACCCAGAGCCGCCCACTGGGGTCAGGTGCTGCTGCCAGATGTGCTGTGGGCCCTTCTTGCTGGAGACGCCATCGGAGTACCTGGAAGTTGTCCGCGAGAACCATGGGCTGCTGCCGCCCCTCTACAAGTCTGTCAAAACTTACACAGTGTGAACACCCCCCTGCCCCCGACCTGGTTTCAGCATTAACTGACTGCTGACTGGGAGTTGTGGGCAGGGCGGGGCAGGGTGGTGCACGCTGCCCAGCAGGAGGGGTTCATGTGTGCAGGGCTGTCCACCCTGGATGGCCATCCATTTTTACAGTCCAGCTGCCTCCACAAGCCCCCCTCCATCACACCCCCTAGCCATCCATCCATCCACCTATACAGTTGTAAGCCCCTCTCAGTCAGTCCCACTCCTTGGCTTTGAAGAGGCCCCAAGTGGGACTGCAACACCAGACATGGTCCTTGTTCTCTCCTAAGTGTGCCTACTTAGGCTACTCCTTGTCCATTCCTCCCCTATTGGCACATTTGCTGTCTATCTTGGGTTCACAGTTGCTTCCCCCAGACAGCCCTGCCCAGGTCAGAGAGCTGGAAGGAAGGTCACAAATGGATAATTTAAGGCTGCATCACAAAAGGTCATACATACAGAGACAAGTGTGCACACACGCCACACAGACATTTCAGATGATTTCCTCTGTACCAATTAGGTGGTTGCTGGGATGTACCCTGAATCAGCACTAAAATGAAATCTGACCTTTCCCACATGGCCCTGACGGTTCCTGGGCCTGGCCCCTCCCTTTGTGTGCTGTCCCTGTGGCTACTGGCTCCCTTTCTAAGGACACCCTGTTCCCTCTCTGCTTGCTGGGGATTGGGTGGGGGCAGGGCTAATGCTTTGTGAGTGCAAAGTGCTTTATAAATAGCACCTTCTTTTATTGAGTCCATGTTAAACTTTCATTGAGGAAAAGGCTTTGCAGCAAAAAAACAGTCAAGCCACGGGGACTTGGGTACCCGGAGGGGGAGGGTACAGTGTTCTTGCCCCCCCAGCTGCTCCCAGGGTGGCCTTGAGAAGGAAGAGGCAGGACTGGATGGAACCTGGGGGAGGGGGACCAGCCCACTCCTCTTTCTTTGTTGGCCCAGCAGCCTGGGGGAGGCAGAGGATGTGCAGAGAGTGTGTTATGGGTGCAGAGGGAGACCACGATTAGGCCCCCATTGAACTGTGCAGGATTAGGGAGCAACCTGGGCCTGCCTGGGGAGGGGAGGCAGGGCCGTGGGGGCTGAGCTTTGTTGCTGTAATCGTTTGCTCTCAGACTTTGTGCTGAAAACAGCATTCCCACTGTTGTGCAGCTCCTACTCATGAAATACTGCCATTATTGCTGAATAAAGCTTGTGTGCTCTGAGTATAGCCAAGCATATGCCAGGTGGCCCGAGTCTCTTTTCCGTGCATGGATGTTTGGGCCTTGCAAGCAGCAGGAGCACTTCCTGGATGAAGCGGGACGTCCCCGTCGTGTTCTCTGGCAAGTGCACTGGATGGAGCCGCTGGCTACAACCTCAGGTCTGGGTCAGTGGTTTGGGTCAGTGGTTCTCAAACTGCCTCTTAGGCTGCATCACAGACAATCTGGCTCCTGAGGGCCTCCCGGAAGTGGGTCCAGGCACCCCAGGTGACTCCAATGTGCAGCCAGGTCTGAGACTCTGGGGTGGACTCTTGATCAGAGGGGGATGTAGGGCACACCCGGGAACTTGGAAATGCTTATCCCTGGGCCCCATGCCACACGTGAATCAGCTCCCGGGGAGGGGGCAGCCCTGGTGCATCAGGTGTGAGAACCTCCCATCTCCAGCAGGGCTTCTTGAACTTGGATGTGATGAGAGTCACTGGAGGTCTTGTTAAATGACATACCTTCATGCAGGGTGTCTGGAATGGGCCCTGGGATTCTGCATTTCTAACAAGATTCCAGATGCTGCTGCTGCTGCCAGTCCCAGGACCTCACTTCGAGTTGCAAAGCTCTGAGTCTACACCCTTCCTGAGCTCTTTTTCTTCTATAAGAGGTTCAGGATTTTTTCTTAATTGCCTCTGCTCTCCTGTCGCCCCCAGCACCCAGCACCCAGCAGGTGTGCCCCAAGATTTGAGGAGCTGGACATAGGTGTGAATAGACCCTGACCCCACCCCTGCTGTGCCACCCTGGAGGCTCCACTTTCAATGAGCAAAGTCATTTAGGGAACTTTCTTGGACTTCAGCGTCGCTGGCACATGGGGTGGATACTGCCACACACACCTTTCCTCTGGCCTCCCACCCAGGGGTCAGCTATGTCATGGTTCAGGGTGGGAAGGAACCTGGGTATAGCAGGGCACCCTCATGCCCTGGATAACTGGTTAGAGGATCAAATGAAACCTTGAGTTACTTTAAAGTATTCTTAATAGACAAGGACAGAAATCATTTTAGAACCACTTCCTGCTGGCAGAATACACAGCTCCCCATCTCCGCATGCCTTCAAGAGAACCAGGATAAAAAAAATCTCAACTCACCCAGAAGAATTTAAAAGTGGAGTTTCATGCTGTAAAGGGAGATACATCTCTGCAAAAATGGGGGTAATCAGGTGTTTGTCTCACAGAAGTTAAAAAAAATTTTTTAAAAATTGTCAGCCACATTTAAGAGGTTGGGTAGAAAGAACCCTTGGAATTAAAAAAACCCCCAAAACCTGAGAGCTGGAGAGGGAAGCTCACTTTGCCAAGCACAGATGCACCAGCTGCAATACAATTCAGCAGAATATCTGACTTGCAAAATTCGGGAGCACACAGGCTGTTGGGCAGTTGGCTGGGTCAGGCAGCAGAGTCAGGCACTTCCAGGCTCCCTCCTAGACCCAGGCAAGCACACCTTCCAGGGCAGTGCTTACTGATTTGCTAGGCTGTCTGGAACGTTCCTCTGGAGGATTGCAGGAGGTTTCCAGAGCTGTAGCCCAGGTGAGGAGCCTGTAGGGAACTCACTGTATTTCCTTACCAGCCCCTGGTCACTGGCCCATTCCAGGCCTGTAGCAGCGAGTGTCCAGCTCTGTCCAGCACAGCTACGTCTCACCTGAGCATCCTGATAAGCACTGTCATGATTCTCTATTAGCCTGCCCCACAACCACACCCCAGGTCCAGATGGCAGGAGGGCTGGGCAGCTATTCCCACCAGCCTACAGTTCCAGGAGGGACCAGATTTTTGCTGATGAGAGGCTGTGGGTTCCCATGACCACAGGGTGTCAGGAGCAGAATCAATTGAATGTATTTTTGCCGGTACCTGATAAGAGCCATGTTTCCCTCTAAGAAGCCCATCACCCTGGACATACTCGGGTGTTTTGGTAGGGTTCTGAGGGTTTAAGCCTGATAGGATTAAAGTGGGTGTCCAAGGAAATGTACATGAACTCACCTATACTGATTTGAATAGTGACTCCCCCTAAATTCATATCCACCCAGAACATGTGAATGGGACTTTATGTGGAAATAGAGTCTTTACAGATGTGATCAAATTAAGATGAGGTCATACTGGAATAGGGTGGGCCCTACATCCGATGACTGGTGTCCTTATAAACAGAGAAGAGACACAGACAGGCCACGTGATGGACCCAGAGGTTAGAGAGATGCATCTACAAACTAAGGAATGCCAAGGATTGCTGGCCACCCCAGAAGCTGGAAGAGGCTCGGAGCAGATTGCTGTGTATTAATATGCTCCTGCTGCCATCACAAAGTATCACAGTCTGCGTGGATTAAACAACAGAAATAAGTTTTCTCACAGTTCCAGAGGCTGGAAGTCAGAGATCAAGGTGTTGGCAGGGTTGGTTTGGTTCCTTCTGAGGCCTCCCTCTTTGGTGTGTAGACGGCCATCTTCTCCCTGTGTCCCCACCTGGTAATCCCTCTGTGTGTGTCTGTGTCCTAATTTCTCCTTCCTATAAGGACACCAGTCAGATTGGAGTAGTCCCACACCGATGACCTCGTTTTAACTTAATTACCTCTTAAAAGGCCTTATCTCCAAATTCAGCCACATTCCAAAGTGCTGGGGGTTAGGACTTCAACTGATGAATTCTGGAAGGACAAAATTCAACCCATAACACCTTGATTTCAGACTTCTGGCCTCCAGAACTGGGAGGGAAGAGATTTCTGTTGTTTTAAGCCGCCCAGTTTGTGGTGTTTATTTCAGCCGCCTCAGGAAGCGAATATACTTTGCAATGTCTATTCTGGCAGCTCTCTCAGACCCTGCATCCATCCAACAGGAAGTCCTTCAAAACACATCCAGATCCACTTCTCCCTGCTTCTGCTGCCACCCCCCTCCCCGGTGGGGCCATCCCCATCCTGTTGGCTTCCACTGCCCCTCATCTCACCCCAGGTGTGTTCTCAGACCCACATGAAGTCCATGCCCTCTACCCAAACCCTTCAATGTCTCCCAGCTCAGGGGCCTTCCAGGGGCCTTCAAGGCCTGCACGACCTGGCCCTCTGACATCACTTGCCTCAGCTTTGTCCTCCTCAGGGCTTCCCTAGGGCTGTTCCCCCTGCCGGGAGCTTTTCCCTACACACGCCTGGGGCTCCCTGCTTTCCTCCTTCACATTTGCTCC